AGTGCAGATGAATGATGACGCTGACCTGGAGCTGGTGAGAGGGCAGGAATGGGGAGAAGAGGAGGGACTTGAGGATATCCACATAGATTCTAGAACCCATGGAACTTGGTAGTAGACTGAATTAGAGGAGAGGGTGAGGTAGAACGAAGTGCTGAAAATGGTGATATTTGCTTTTTCTCTGCTTCACCCTTCCCTGCACCCATGACACCTCTCTTATGCTCACCAGCGGTCCCTTCTTCGGGAAAGTTCTGATAAATACTCTTCCTGTGGTGGGGGAGGGGCTGAGGACATGAGTGCTGAGTGGAGAGAGGAGCTGGGGTCAGGACAGAAGAGCCTGAAGAAGGCAATGCTGAGCCTAAAGCCAGGAATTTTAGGCAAGTCAAGGAGAAAGAAGGGGTGGAGTGTTGCCTTCCCTTTATTAATGGGGGCAGAAGGACTAGTAGGGTCTCATGCCTATCTGTGCTGCCTCCAACCTTCCTCACTTCACTGCCTGGCATAGGTTATTTTCTTCTTTTCCTGACATTCTCTCTCTTAAGAATGGCTGGTTCTGAACGAGACAGGAGCCTGGACTCTACCTAAGAAAATTTCAAAGGAATAGGTGCTCAGCCAAAGTCAAGAGCTCGACCGAGCCTAGCCAGTTTGGCTCAGTGGTTAGAGTGTTGGCCTGTGGACTGAAGGGTCCAGGGTTCGATTCAGACCAAAGGCACATACCTTGGTTGTAGGCTCGATCTCTGGCCCTAGCTGGGACATGTGCAGGAGGCAACCAGTGTGTCTCCCTCACATTGATTGGTGTGAAACACATCTCATAATGTGTGTGTGTGTGTGTCTTTCTCTCTCTTAAAAGCAATGCAAAAAATATCCTTGGGTGAGGATTACCAAAAACAAAAAAAAAAAGCTCACCTGAGGTTCCATGACAAGTTCTTGGCCAGAGAGGCAATGCTTTCCTTTCTCCAAAGGGAAACCATGATTATCTCACCCCACTCCTACATCTGATCCTGTGGCAGGAACAAGACAGGGCAGGGTTGACCAGACAGTTCACGTGGACGACCCTTTTTCTCCTCCAGCAGCACAGAGTACACTTAAATCCCGGGTATCATCCCTAACCACTTCCCAGTGGAAACTGAAGGCCCAAAGCCAGATTCTGTCCTTATTCTGTTGGGCTCCTCCCCTGTGGACTTCCCCAGCACCTTCAAACTCCCAAACTGCCAACTCCCCCAACACCTGAGAGTCAGCCAACATTCTCTCCTCTCCTCTGTCCCCACATCCACTAGATTAACTGGACTAGAACTTTAGTCCAGTTAATTCTTCCTAAACGTGTCTTGAATCTGTCCATTTCCTTCTGCCCTGCTCCAGGTCACCCTCACCCCTTACCTGTATGGCTGATTTTCCTGCCTCTAATCTTCCCCTTTCCAATCTTTTCTCTGCATAGTGACAGCTCATAGATCTTTCATAAGATTATTCCCCTACTTAAAATCCTTCCCTGGATCCCGATTGCCTTTAAAATACAACAAAGTCAAAATTCCTTGTCACAGTTTTCCACACAAAAAAACAAACAAAAAAAAACCCCATATTACATCTGGTGCACCTACTAAGATCTAGACATTGTCATTTTTTTAAAAGTTTTTTTAAAAAAATCTTTATATTGATTTCAGAGAGAGGACGAGAGAGATAGAAACATCAATGATGAGAGAAAATCATCCACCAGCTGCCTCCTGCATGCCCCCTACTGGGGACTGAGCCCACAACCCAGTCATGTACCCTGACCAGGAATCGAACCGTGACCTCCTGGTTCATGGGTCAACACTCTACCACTGAGCAACACTGGCCGGGCTAGCCATTGTCATTCTCACCACAACCTTCCAAAGTAGAATCATGATCCTCCTTTTTACTAATGTGGATCCTGAGGCTCAGGGATCTTAGAGAAGTTGACAGTGATGGAGCCAGGATTTAAATCCATATCTATCTGACTCTAAAGTAATTTTTTCTATGCTGTCTACCTCCATGCCAGGTGCCCACCTTGTTCCTTATTTAGACTGGTAGCTCCCTCTCCATACCCAAGGTATCTGGGGTGCTCAGCTTGCAGCCCTACCTCTCCCATTATCTCCACATGGCCCAATCACTCCAGTCCTGCAAATGACCTCCCAGGTCAAATCTGCCTCCTTCATAAAGCTTTCCCTGAATCAACCTCTCCAGCTGGAGTAAGCTTCTCCCAGAGCACATTACCTTGCACTCCTCCTAAGGCCCTGGTCCCTCTGTACCCCACTACTTGTGTTCATGTCTTAAGAACAGAGTTCAGCAGCACAATGCAAAAATCATTGACTTCAGTGCCAGAAAGAACTGGGGGCAAATTCCAGCTCAACTACTTACCACCATGTGATCTTGGACAAGTGATTATCCTCCCTTAGCCTTAGCTTTCTCATCTATAATATGGGGACGATGGTATTACCTTGCAGAGCGGTTAGAAGAAATCTAGAAACAATGTATGTCAAGTGCCCCAGGAAGGTCCTGGTGCAAACTATAGGCTCTCAGCAAATGGTGGCATTATCTTTTCCTCTGTGAGACTTTGAGGACAAAGTTCCTGTGGTCATTGCTGTCTCCCCTAAAGGGCCCAGCCTGGGGTTCTTCACAGAGTTCAGAAAATGCTGGTAACATGCCCAAGTGGTGGAAAGCCTAGGAGCCTCTGATTCCCGGGCTCTGCCAGGTCCATGTGGGACATGTACATACCACCTAAGGCCCACTCTCCATCAAAGAATGAGGGAGTGAGGGAGTGGGGGAAAAGGAAAGGGGTGTCCCCCAGAGCACCGATGAGCTCTCTCTCCCCAGAAACCTAGCCTGGGGAGGCAGCTGTGGTGGAAACCACTGCTGTCACATGTGCTCGTCACTCTAGGCTCCAGAGACAAATGCTCAGGATCTATTTAATAAAATAATGATGGTCTTCCTCACCTTCATTGTCCCCAAACCCAGGCTTCTATTATTCTTTCCTTTTTCCCTGCTACTCTCCTCCCTGCCTTTCCTTCTTGACCCCTTACTTCCTCGTTTCCTTCCCATCGCCACCAGTATTTCTCTCTTTCCTCACCCCTTTCTAGGTCTGTCTCTTACTCTCTCACATCATTTCTGTCTTCCAATGTCTCTTCATCTCTCCCTGTGCTTCCATTCTCCATGGCTCTATCTCTTGGTCTCTCCTTCACAATCACAGGTGGCCATGCCCAGGGATGGGTCCTGTCCTCCTTCCTCCTGGTCCCTGGTCCAGGCCAGTCCAGACCTGTCCAGCTCGCCCTGATCTGCTTGGATTGATCTGTCATCCCCTCTAGACCGCAGCCTGAGTCCTGCTGGTGTCTCGGTCCCCACTCACAGTATGGTACACTGTAGGTGCTCCACCACCAGGGGGTGGGTGTGTCAGAGCAGATAAGAATCTGAGCCTTGGGTGGGAGGGAAATAGCACTGATTCAAGCTTGGCCTGTTTTCCTTTCCTTTTTTTAAAAATAAGCCCTCCCCACTTCCCACCCTCAAATTTTATCCAAAGGAAATTGCTCAGCTGTGACTGCCAGGGCATTACCATGGTTACCGGGTAGCACTTGTGGCTATGGTAACAGGAAGCTGCCTGTTGTCTCGGCAACAAGCACATTGGTAGGGGATAAAATGGCCCCTGATTGGTGCAAAAACTGCATTTCCTGAGAGGAGGGGGTCAGATCATCACCTTCTCAGGCCAGATGGGCATCAGTACTCCTTCTCCATGGCCAGGAAGGCTGCTGTTCTTTCCTGCTGGCACTCAGCGGTCTGCCCCCAACAACAATTCATCACATCCTACGCACCCAGCTCCTGGCAGTTTACAAAGACCTTTCGTGTCCCCATTATCTTATGTGATCCCCACAACACCTATGAGAGCAAGGTGAGATGGGGATTCAGTCATGAATTCTCTCAGGGTGGTTGGGGGATGGGAATGTGTGGGCTGTAGTATATTTACATCACCTAGGAGCTTTTACAAATTATACAGTTCCCCCAGCTTGAGAGTCTCGTATGGTTCCCAGGTGATTCTTATCCACCCCTGATCAGGGAACCCCTAAATTAGAAGGTAAAATTGGTTGGTGGGAGAGGAGATGGAGGGAGGAGTCAAGCTGGCTTTCAGATTTATAGCTTAGATAACTGCAAGAATCAGGTTTGGGCAAGAAAATCAACTCTAGTTTGGGTGTGTCAAGTGGAAGGTGTCAGAGGGACTTTCTGGTGGGCATGTCCAGCAAATAGTGGGGCACATGAGTCTGAAGCTCAGAAGAGAGGGTGGGTGGGATATGCAGGGCTGAGTCGTCCCTGTAGAGATGGTAGCTGAGGCTGTGGGTGTGGGTGAGGTTATCCAGGAAGAGTGAGAGGAGCAGGATGAGCGGGTCCTGGAGCACTCCGACATCCTCAGGGGGAAGGGCACCCAGGGAGGGGATTGAGGGGTGGACACTACGGTGATGCAGAAGCTTGGAAAAAGTTCTCCCCACTTAACAAGTTGAATTAGAGAAGGTGGCTTACTGGAAGTCATACAACCATTAAATGGCAGAGTCGGGGATAGACAGCACTAAGTCTGATTCTCAGATGGTTTAACATAAATGACACAGAATTATATTCTACTTGAGGCATAAACCACAAATCTGCAATTATCAATTCTACTCTCCCACCTAAAGCCTTTAAGGAAGTCCAGGAGCCAGAGGGACAGGCCTCACAGGGTCCCTGCCTGGAGCCCAAGGCAAGAGAATCTCTTTAGCCTCCACTCCACAGTCTGCCCTGCGCTCACCACTGAGCTTCCCATCACCCAACCTTTCAGGTTTTAAGCACCTTCTAAATTCCTAGGTTTAAGAGAGAAATCTTGGAGAAAATGTATAATCCCAGTGTGAGAGAGGTGGAGTTCAGAGTTCAAAGGGCCAAGGCTTAGATCCTGAGGAGTCCAGGGATGGAGAAGCCAGGAGGCCCGAGGGCCAGGCAGTCATGCTGACTGGGGGTGTTGGTTCAATGTCTTTCAGATGAACCGTCCAATCCAAGTGAAGCCAGCTGCCAGTGAGGGCCGAGGAGGTAATTTCCCTGCCTGACAAACCTCAGGGTATCACCCATGTAGGGGATGGTGGGTTCACTCCTAAAGTCTGTCCTACCCATAGTTTATTACTAGAACCTCCTTGGGTCAGGGGGACAAGTGGGGTCCAGAGTTGCTCAGTTACAGAAACAACTTAGCCATCCCAGCTAGGACTAAGAAGAGATGAGCCCTGGCTGGTGTGGCTCAATTGGTTGGGCATCATCCCATGCACCAAAAGGTTGCCAGGTCGATTCCCAGTCAGGGCACAGGCCCCAGGTTGTGGGCTCAATCCCCGGTAGGGGACATGCAAAAGGCAGCCAATTGATGTTTCTCTCTCCCCCTCTCCTTTCCTCTTACTCTAAAAATCAATTTTAAAATCTTTAAAAGAAGAAGAAGAAAAAGGGATGAGGTCTCAGGGTCCCCAGGCCCAGAAGAGGCAGACAGAGCCTGCACAGATTCAGGAGGTAGAGGATGGAAACTCTTGTCCCCTTACCCCTAGAGAGAGAGAGTTCTTGTTTTTCCAGGTTCTTCTTTGTCTGTAGAGTAAAGCTAGAGTTCTCCTTTTCTAGATTATTCTGATTGCAGAGAACCCTAGGTTGGGACACTCATTCCTTCATTGCAATTGCCTGGTTATTCATGGTCAGAGATGAGGCTGGTATAACAGACTTTGTAGGCCACATTAAGGAATCTGACTCTATGCTGAAGACCATGGAATGACTTTGAAAGTTTTTTAGCAGCACTGTTTCCTGGTGCAGAAAGGCCAATCAATGCTCCTTAAGAACAGGAGGGGTTGAGAGCCTGGGCTTTTTGACAACCAGCTGTGTTCTGGCCATCATGCTGGAAAAGCAATGCTAGCATCTGGTGTCAGTTCTTGGTGTCTTTCTCACTCTTGGATCTTACATCTGCCTGTGTCCCTCCCTGACGTCTACTGACTCTCTCCCTTAGATAAGAATCTGCCTGCCTTACTCAAGATCATCCATGGATTCATTAGGAGAAAAAAGCTTCCCAAGGTCAGGGAGAGAATGGAATCCAATTGACAGACATTTATTGACCCCCTACTAACTCTGCATACCTTCCCAAACTTCATGTTCAGTACAAGATGTTCTGGAGCTCCATGGTTTTATTGTAGAATTAGTTCTTCTAAGAAATCCTTCTTTTATCCTTTTAGATTCTCTGACCTCTGGTCTCCAGTTCTCAGTTTCTGGTCAAGATGTTATCAGCCTTTCTTTGCCTGAAGAAATATTACCAAGCTTCCTTCCTCCTCTCCACACACATATCTCCTTTCTTATCTCATTCTTCCCAGACAGGTCTTTGAGAAGTTCCAGGTCACATACCAAACCTCAGGTTCACTTGTTCCAAGAATTTCTGCTTGAAATTTTGTTAGGCATCAAGGCCATTGTTGGCTGTCTTCTATGCCCTGCCCCCAAACACTAGACAGTCCCACAGCTGCGAGGCCCGCTGAGAGTACCTGAGTATGCGAAGAGGCAGACAGGTTGGGATGCAGTTTATTCAACCATCCAACCAACATCTTCTGAGTAACTTACTCCACATTAGAAATACAGACTTGAGCAAGGCAGACCTGGCACTTGGCCTCATGGAGCTCTGGAGCGGTGAGGGCATATAGACAAGTAAACAATTGGTTACAATTCAGTGTGATTGGTGCTTTTCAAGTCCTGGGGGGACTGTCGGGACACAAACAAAAGGCACATAGCTTAGTCTGGGAGGTCAAGGTGGACTCCCAGAGGTAGAAATATTTAAGCTGAAATCTCAGGGATGAACAAGTAGTCAGTAGAACAGGAGGCGGGGGAGCTGGAGACAAGTGTTTCAGGCGCCAAGAACAGCACATCCAGAGCTCCGAGGAACATGATGCATCGTGGAGTCTGGTTCCCGAACAAAGCTCATGGTGCCGGGAGCTCTCCTGTTGTTTGGAGTCCAACACATCTTGTCAGGGTGAGGGCAGCTGCACAAAGGAAGTCTCTGTGCCAATAATGCTTCTGCTTGGTCTGGCCCATATGTCTTGGTCATCTGGGACCCAACCAGTGGTATCAGCCTGAGTTTTATCATTTTTCCCTTCAAGTTTTTGTACAAGTTTTTCAGGTGTCACATCATTGACAAATTCTGTGGATGTGGCGTCCCACTAGTGTTTGTCTAGTGTTTGTTTATATTCAGAGCAGCTCAAGAGATCAGAAGAAGCAAATCTGGCTGAAAAGAGGTCTACCTGGCAGTAGAATTCATAATTTTAGTAGTTACACGTTACACAGATATTTCTTGACAAGTGGTGGGTCTTAAGGAGCATGTACTCCAAGTGCATCCATAGATAATCCTTCTTACAGGTTTGGGTGACAAGATCTCTCAGTTCTTCCCTGCTCCCACTCTGAGTTTCCCTGCTATACATTTGAGAGAGAGGAAGCACATGTACTAAGTCTTGGGCCTTTACAATTTTTAAGTATTTTACTACCAATTGATCTGTGTTAGATAATCTTGTTACTAATTAAAATGTGTTCATTTTCTTCAGTGTTATCACCTATCTCCTCTAAAGTGAGTTCTCTGCTGAATTTTAACACAAACTAATGTTCTAGAAAGCCAACTTTTAAAATGGTACTGGACTTTGCTTTTGAAATGTAACATTTGACACCAATGTGGGATATTTGGTACCATTCAAGTCTTATCTCTGTGATCCCAAACATTCTATAAGCCTTCAGAGTTAATGGTCACAGCTGTCCTGATATATTTGAGCCTGTGTGCCTGCATATTTTTTATTATTCCTAAATTAAATCCCTTAGTTTACAGTTGATTAATAATGATTTCTCTATCTGATAAGAATACTGGTATCAAAGTAGGCATAATCCAAGGGATATCAAGGCAAATGTAATCTTCCAAAATTCTGCTGTGTTCTTCTGGAAGTGATTATTAGATTTTTCTTCCCATAAAATAGGGGTCACCAACTCAAATGTTACAGGAGTCATGTAAGTAACCCTAAATAGGCAAGACTGTAATGATTTAATTACAAAATTGCATTTTAATTATATTAAATGTTGCCAACTAACTCAATTTTTTTTTTTAATTTTTTTTTAACNTAATTACAAAATTGCATTTTAATTATATTAAATGTTGCCAACTAACTCAAATTTTTTTTTTAATTTTTTTTTAACAATTTTTTTTAAAACATATCTTTATTGATTTCAGAGAGAGGAAAGGAAGGGAAGAGAGAGAGAAACATCAATGATGAGAGTCATTGATCGGCTGCCTAGCCCGCAACCTGGGCATGTGCCCTGACCGGAAATCAAACCCGGAACTCCTGGATCCTAGGTCGATGCTCAACAGCTGAGCCACGCCCAGCCAGGCACTAAATCAATTTTTAAAGTGAACCAGCACTACGAGAGTCTAAGCAAACCTATCAGATTTGCTTCTTTGGCCCAAAGACTTCCATTCTTTTCCATCTGCCAAACAGGAGTATTCCATTGTACACAAAAATGGTTACTTTACATTCTGTCTTGAATTTTGATGCCAGTGCAACAGAGTAGAGTTTCTCTTATTTTAATGATAGACATGAGGTTTGTGGTTGAAATATCCTATATTTTAAACACATTGTATATTGTATTACTTTTAGAAGATATTAGCAACATGCACATTCAATGCTTACAATGCAATAATAGTAGCAACACAACAGGATCTGCCTGATAGGAGGTGCTGGGGTCCTCTTCTTCCATGGCCATCCCATGTAGCCTTGGTAGCATTTGGAATGCCAGAGGGTCATCCAGGTCTTCATGGACTATATTATAGCAGCCTTTTAATGTATCCCAGCCAGTTCTAATAAATTCTGCAGCTAAATTCACACTGTTCGTATGTACTCTTAAAGGATAATGCATTTAATTTTCCTAAATAAAATCATCTCGTAATATACTGAAGACACCCATTTTTTACAGTAAACATACATAGTGCCAAAAACATTTCCTTCGGCATTTGGATTTATTTGAATGTAAACATTAAATATTTGGCGTGCATAAAAATTCAAGGTTCATACATTTAAAAACTTTAACCTCAAATTATATGAGGTCAGAGCTAGAGATCCCGAAATCTCACAGACAATGGTAATTGAATAGGTCTATTTTATTTTGCTCTTCAGCATGAAGACTGGGGTTAACTTTTCTTAACTTACAGTATTTCTACTATGTAAGCACTAAAAAAATAAGTTAAATTATAAGTACCAATCTTATAGAAAAAGCATTTTTCAGTGTTAAGGCAAAATCTTCAAAATCATTGAACTCTTGTATATTTTTTCCTTTTGTTCAAATTTCATAGCATAAAATCAATAAAGTTATAAATCACAATGGTGATTGCTCTGCTTGTTCCATTCCCCAACTTTGCTGTATTTTTAACTCAGCAAATATTTCTATATCCAAGATTCCTAAGGTACAGAAATAGGTTAAGTAATCAATCCGTGCACTGTTTTCACTTTATTTTTTTTAAAGATTTTTAATTGATTTTTAGAGAGAGAGAGAGAAACATCGATGTGAGAGCAGTGGGACAATCGGCTGCCTCCCATATTACCCCCACTGGGGATCGAGCCCGCAACCCAGGCATGTGTCCTGATCCAGAATCGAACCAGCCACCCTCAGTGCACAGGACAACACCCAACCAACTGAGCCACACCGGCCAGGGCCACTTTACTTTTTTTAACTAAAATTTTAAACATTCTCTGAGGTGAGGCATCTCTTTATTAATCTTGAAATTGGTTTAACTCAAAATCCAATTATTTGTCTTCATATCAAACCCCCATCCCCATCCTATAATTGTTAAGTATTTTCTGCCTGAATTTGCAAGGGGTGGTTAAATATCAGCCTAGCCCTAGCCAGTTTTGCTCAGTGTTTACAGCATCGGCCTGTGGACTGAAGGTTCCCAGGTCCAATTCCAGCCAAGGGCATGTATCTCAGTTGTAGGCTCAATCCCCAGCCCTGATCTGGGAGCATGCACAAAGAAACAATAAATGCATCTCTCTCACATCAATGTTTCTCTCTCTCTCTCTCTTCCTTCCACTCTCTCTGAAAAGCAATGGAAAAAATATCCTCGGGTGAGGATTTTTAAAAAAATTAAATATCAGACTAGATTTTGAGTATTAATAAATGTATATTATTATCTAGCTAGGTGAGTCATCTTTTCCAAATTTTCCTAAGATTCTATTTTATTCAGTGTTTAACAACTAAACTTTGAATTCAAGTTAAATTTTGACCTAGAATTCTTAGAATTCCATAATAGTGGGACATGTCCTCTGACCGAAAACAAATATGAACCTTAACAACCACTCCTCTATCAATCAGTTTACATTCATATATGTCTTTGATCCTTATACTTACTTAATTCTAAAAAGTATTCTTCCGACTAAGACCTGGCTGGATAAGTTTCACAGGACTGCTTAAGACTTTACTCAAGTTGATGTTTCACGTCCTGAAATGCATTCCACCTCCAAAGGTAAAAAGGAGCACTTTCCTTCAGCTTTACCTAGGGTGGATTGTCCAAAGCTGATCGTGGTAACACTTTTGGGCTGTGGGTATTGCTGAATCTCTTACAAGCCCTTCAGGTCCGGGTGTACATCCTGCAAAAAGAAAAGGCATCTTGGGAGGCTGAGATTCTTCTCTTTTAAGGGAACCTGGAAGCCACGCTGGGTTTACCTTTCTTACCTCCTGTTTCTCCTGGATTAGAATAATGACACAGTTCTTTTTTGGTCTAAGTCCTGATTTTTCAGCCATCCTTAAAGCCCTTCTTTGCCTTATTTTATTTTTTTAAATTGTGGTAAAATAGAGATAACAAACTTTATCATCTTTACCATTTTTAAGTGTACAGTTCAGTAGCGTTAACTATATTCACACTGTGTGCAACCAATCTCCAGAACTTTTTCATCTTACAAAACTCAAACTTTGTGCCCATTAAACAATAACTCCCCACTGAGCTTCCTTCAAGCCCCTGATAACCATCATTCCACTTTCTGTTTTTATGAATTTGACTACTCTGGATACCTTATGTAAGTGGAATCATGAGGTACTTGTCTTTGTAACTGGCTTATTTCACTTAGCATAATGTCCTCAATGTTTATCCACATTGCAACATATGTCAGGATTTCCTTCCTTTTAAAGCCTGAATAATACTCCATTGTAGGTATACGCCACATTTTGTTTATGTATTCATTGGTTGATAGACATTTGAGTTGCTTCCTATTATGGATAGTGTTACTGTGAACATGAATGCTTAAGTATCTCCTTGAGACCCTGTTTTCAATTCTTTTGGATATATATTCAGAACTGGTATTGCTAGATCACATGATAATTCTATATTTACTTTTTTGAGGAACCACAATACTGATTTTCATAGTAGCTATATCATTTTACATTCCCCCCAACAGTGCATAAGGGTTTCGATTTCTCTGCATCCTTGCCAAAACCACTAGGGTTGTTTTGATTATTTTTTTATAACAGTCATCCTAATGGGTGTGAGGTGCTAGCTCATTGTGGTTTTGATTTGCATTTCCTTAATGCTTAATGCTGTTGAGCGTCTTTTCATATGTTTGTTGGCCATTTGTATATCTTCTTTGGAGAAATGTCTATTTAAGTCCTTTGTTTATTTTTAAATCCAATGATTTGGTTTATTGTTGTCGCTGAGTTATAGGAGCTTTCTGTATAGTCTGGATATAAACCCCTTATCAAATATATGATTTGAAAAATTGTCTCCCATTTTTTAGATTGCCTCTTTACTCTGATTCTGTCCTTTGATGCACAGTTTTAAATTTTGATGTTGTCCAATTTATCTATTTTTACTTTTGTTGCCTATACTTTCAGTATCATGTCCAAGAAATTACTGCCAAATACAAGGTCATGAAGCTTTTCTCCTATGTTTACTTCTAAGGGTTTTATAGTGTTAGCACTTATGTTTAGGTCTTTGATCCATTTCCAGTTAATTTTTTATATGGTGTAAAGTAAGGGTCCAAATTTATTCTTTTGCATGTAAACATCCAGTTTTTTTCAGCACCATTTTGGCCATGTATGCTAGGGCTTATTTCTGAGCTCTTTATACTATTCCACTAACCTATATGTTTGTCTTTATGCCAGTACCACATTGTTGGATTACTGTATCTTTGTAATAAGCTTTAAAATCAGGAAGTGTAAGACCTCCAACTTGCTTCTTTTAAAAACAGATATGTTTTTTATTGATTTTAGAGAGAGGGGAGAGAGAGAGAGAAAGAGAGAGAGTAAGAAACATCAATTGGCTGCCACCCCCACGGATCAAGCCCAAGCACCTACAACCTGGGCTTGTGCCCTGTGAATCAAACCAGCAACCTTTCAGTGCATGGAACTAGGTTCAACCAACTGAATCACACCAGCCAGAGCACAACTTGCTTCTTTTTCAAGATTGCTTTGGCTATTCAGAGTCTGTTGAGATTCCATACGAATTTTAGAATGGATTTTTCTTTCTGCAAGAAATGTCATTGGGATTTTGATAGAGATTGCATTAAATCTGCAGATCACTTTGGATAGTGTTGACATCTAGCAATATCAAGTCTTTCAATCCACAAACAAGGGCTGTCTTCCATTTATTTACATCTTTAATTTCTTTTGGCAATGTTTTGTAGTTTCGGAGGTACAAGTCTTTTGCCTCCTTGGTTAAGTTTATTCCTAAGTATTTTATTTGTTTTGATATAAGTGAAATTATTTTCTTAATTTCCTTTTCAGATTGTTAACTACTAGTGTATAGAAACACAACTGACTTAAAAAATAAATTTTTTTAATCCTAACCCTAGTTGTTTTTTCCATTGCCTTTTTTATTTATTTTTATTTTTAGAGAGAGAGTTGAGGGGGTGGGCAGAGAGAGCAAGAGGGAGAGAAACATCAATGTGAGAGAAACACACCGATTGGTTGCCTCCCGCACATACCCCATCTGGGCTGGGGATCGAACCTGCAACCCAGGAACCTGCCCTTGACTGGGAATCTAACCCATGACCCTTTGGCGCTCTGGCTGATGCTCTAACCACTGAGCAACACTGGACAGGGCCACACTGACTGTCTGTTAATTTTGATTTCTGCAACTTTGCTTAATTTGTTTATTACTTCTAAGAGGGATGTGTGTGTGTAAAAGCCCTTCTTGATGCTCATAAGATCTGACCAGATGTTTGCCCCAGATGCTTCCTTCATGCTCATTCCCAGTCTTCTTTGGCTCCTTATGCTTCAGTTATCCCTAAGAATGTCAGGGGAGAGATGCTTTGCTCCAAATGCTGCCACCAGCAGAACCTCCTGGGTTGGTATATGGAAGGAAAGGTGGACCAGTATTTTTAGGATGTGTTTGGTGGTTGGTGGTTGGTATCCCAATGCTGAAACCTTGCCTGTTTGTACAAACATGACATCCCATATGTGAGGGACCCAGAAGCCAAAAACTTGAAAGCACTTCAAGAATTCCTCTGGGACAACTTGAGGCAGGGCCTCCTTTCTTAAATAGCATCTTGGTGCCATTCCTGAGGAAGATGGAGTGGACTGACAGTGGGCTCCCAACCATTTGCTGTATTAGGGTCCCTGACTTGTATGACCAGCTTCACAGAGATGGGCCTCTTGGGCCCAAACAACTTGGTTTGGTTTCAAAACAGTATTTGGTAGAAGGGCAAGGAGTACACATTGGATGTCAACATGAAAATGCAGTTCTACCATTCAACTGTGTGTCTTTCCAACTATGTCTCGACTTCACACTGATGCTATCTTTCAATTGCTCCCACTTCAGGAAGGTTGAGCCTCACTGTCTCATATTCCCATCTTTCTAGGGGCCCATCCACCCACCCACGGGATGCTTTTATTCAGACATTTCTGACTTACCTCTTACAGACTCCTCTTTTTTCTTTTTTTTACCAAACTGGTCCAGAATTGAATTATCTGGACTAAATCACATCGCAATCTCTCCCTGGCGACATTGATGAGTCCTCCAAATCTTGAGGGCTATGGATCTGGGGACTATTCCCAGGGGTCTAGCCTGTACTTGTCTTTCACCAGGTCTCTTAAGAAATGTAACCCACCATTTCAGGATCGCCTAAGGCTGACAGTCACCATAACCCAGATCATCATCCTGCCAGACACCATTCAGGTCCCTGTAAAATGGCAGAGTACCAGGATTCAAGGTGATACCTGGGAAACAGGCAGCACAGAGCCCAGCCTATACCCTGGCCTCATTTTAATTTCAAGTACTGTACAGCCCAGTAGCCCAGAACCATAAAGTTCATGCCTTGTAGTGGAAATGGAAATTTGTAACCTGGGAGATTCTCACTGGAAAAGAAGGATCATAGAATTTCATGGTCTGTGACATGACCTTGAACTGACAGCCATCCACAGAAAAGATCAACAAGAGGGAGAGCAGATGAAAGATCAGACTACTGCCCACGGAACTGTCTTTCCCATCCTGGGGACTCTATCTTAGCTTCGACATCTCTTTTCCTACCTAGGGCTATCTGAATGCTCTTCCATGTGGCATGACACCTTACCTAGGTACAGTCACCACCCTGTAGACCCTTCCCAATGACACAGCTGCACTATAAACCAGGCGTCATGAAGCCTATTTAAGCCTTGGGACCCTGGAGGCCCTAGGGTTTTCTCCAGCCCTTCCTGGGCCTTCTGCAGCCACATGGGCATACTTTAACGTCCTACTTCAGACCAATCACTCCTGGGTTTGTCCCCAGAGGACCGAAAGCTGTTTGTGGGGATGCTGGGGAAGCAGCAGGGCGAGGAGGACGTCAGACGCCTGTTCCAGCCCTTCGGCCATATCGAGGAGTGCACTGTCCTGAGGAGCCCCGACGGCACCAGCAAAGGTGACTTGAGCTACCCTCGGGATCTCCTGGTGATCCTGCCTCACTCTGGGCCACGTGGCCCTTTGGCCTGAGCCACCCGATCCCTCTATCCTGCCCCAGGCTGTGCCTTTGTGAAGTTTGGGAGTCAGGGGGAAGCTCAGGCGGCCATCCAGAGTCTGCACGGCAGCCGGACCATGGCGGTGAGGGCGGGCGCAGGGCCTGCGGGTGAGGCCAGGGGGTGGGGACGGGCTCCTCCTCCCCCGTGCGACCAGCGCCCTAGGAAAGGCGCCCGGCCGGGCCAGGGCTGGGTCTGCACCGGTCACCGCGGCCTCGCCTGTCCTCCGCAGGGCGCCTCGTCCAGCCTGGTGGTGAAGCTGGCGGACACGGACCGCGAGCGCGCGCTGCGGCGCATGCAGCAGATGGCGGGCCA